TATAGACCATTATTTAAAGGGTAAAAAACAACCTTGAAAATATTATATGGAATTATTCTCTTATTTTGAAAGATTTAATTTATTATTATTATTATTATTATTATTATTATTATTATTATTATTATTAGTGTGTGTGTGTGTGTGTGTGTGTGTGTGTGTGTGTGTGTGTGTGTGTGTGTGTGTGTGTTTGTGTCTGAAAAGGTCAGAAGAAAGTATCAGTAGTTGTAGCTGCCCAATTTGTGTGCTGGGAACTGAATTCCAGTTCTCTGCAAGAACATCAAGAGCTCTTAACTACTGAGTCATTTTTTCAGGCCTGGAATAATTTACTTATTTAAAATCAGGTGGACAAAAGAAATATGAGAAACAAAATCTTAATAAGCGGTTTGTTTTAGAAACTATTAAAACTCTTAACTGTTTTATATCTAAACTAAGTATGTCCATATTATTCCATATTTCTCTTCTATCATATAGATTGTCATATTGCTGCAAATACCATATTTCTACTGTAATGTGTTATGTTGAATTACATGAAATTACCATTTTTATCGTTCTGATATCTTTGGGTATTGGTGTCAATTTTCTAGGTAAAAGATGGTTGGATATTGTTACTATCCAGAAGATATTTTTCCCCCATGTTTCTAATGAATTAGGAATATATTAGAATATAAAAACCTTTCAAGATTGTTTAAACTGAGAGTATAAATAATTAAGGAATAAATCTTTTCAATTGTGAATAACCTTCTTACACAATTTAGTGTAACCCTTTTATTGGCCAAATACGTTGTTATCACACTTCAAGTGGTATCAGTGAGAACAAACCCTTAAAGAACTAAAGTTAATCTTTGGTTCCTGTTAAAAATTCAGATAATCTTAGAATATACCACTGTAAGAAGACAACTTTTCTGATATTATTTCCCTCTTAGCACTTAATATACATTCTATTTCCCATTCAAATCCCTGAAACTGTAAAGTCTGGTGAGATAAGTCATATAAGTGCTGTGTGCCCCACTGGTTAGATAATTTAGAAGAGAGCACCCTGGACTTGACATTTGACCTCTTAAAAATTGAAGAGTATTTTTTGTCTCGTCCAGTCTCCAGGGCTCTTGAATCTCAACAAAGATAAAGTGACCTTTGTAAGTTAAAATGCTGCATGGAAATTGATATCTAAACTATCTTTCACAATGGCTTCAATTCTCTCTTTTATGTGCATGGAATGTATATGAGAAACAAACTTCTTATATGGATAAGGAATAAAACCTTCCTCTGTTCCTTCTACACTCTCCAGTGTTCTACTCCTTTCCTGACTTGTGTATAATAAGCAAAGCTGCACGAATAAGTACCACACCTGTAGAGTGGGAACATATAAAACTGATGCCAACTTCTTAAATCATCCTCACCTGGACAACCATATGTAAATCTTCATTCTTTAGATGATATTTTATAATAGATTAAAGTGATGTTTACAAATACTAATACCTCACTACCTGACATTAATATAACCAACTAAGTTCTTCTCTAAATTCTAGCAAATAAAAAATGACAATAAGCATTTATAATACTGTAGACCTTTGAGGATTTCAGTTTTAGATAAACTACCCTGACTTATCTGGATAGAGGTTATGGCAGAATTGGAAATGTCTAATATGCAGACACTGATGAAAAACATTCTAAATCATGAGGTATTTATGCTTACATTATGGCCAAGCTGATTCATCTGTGTAGGATATATTCTTTTTGCCAGAGATAACATGTATCATCTTAGCTAGAAACCTACAATCACATCCCATTATGATGAATTCTCACCGTTTATTCAAATTCCTTCCTCTGGTGGAATCTTGTCAAGTTAATACTGCTTAACCCATGTGGTCTTAAAATTTTCCGTTGTAAATCAACTGCCATTTTGGCATTTGGCTGGATCTGGCCTTACATGACCGCGGTCACACTAAGAATGTTCAGTTTGTTGAATTTGAAATTTATAATACTTGACAAATTATAGATTTTTTAATAACCAAGGAGACTCCTGCATTCATTATTTTATGAAACTTTTTTCTTCTAAATGATTTGATTTGATGTAGTTTTACATGACAAACTAAATCAAGAAGATTTTTTTAATAACTTGATTTGGTTAAGTATATTAAGTACTTTAATAGACAACAAATTACTAGACAGCTAATTTCTGTGTAGTACAAAGCTCTTAGCACTGCATTTATTCTTGGTCTTCTGAAATGTTTGCTGTTAATTTAGGACTAGTCATCAATAAACTGAACTAAACGCTGGTCTTGAGTACATTCATGAATTTGTTCTTGCTTATATTTCATTTTACAATCATCCTCGAAGGATGAAGAGTTTATCTGAGAAATCCAGAAGGGCAAGCATCCTAAATCCAGGCATTGTTAGCTTTATGAGCATATTAAACACACATTACATCGTGCAAAGTCTTTATTGCAAATGGGCCTTAGCCACTAAAATGTGTAGTTTCCTTTCATGTTGTGACTAAACAATTTGAAAACCGTATGGGCTGAAAATGTACAGAAAGGTTGCAGGCTGATTGTTAGCAGGAAAAACTGCCATCAAATCAATGCAGGGAACACTCTTCACAAATCCCAAACAAGGAAGGGAGGACTGGGCACCTGTCCTGCTTGTTCTCTTTTACTGCAAATGCCTGTTTGTCTACCGTTGTGGTGGTTGTTTTGTTTTGTTTTCTGAATTAAATTCTGAGGTAAAGTTCAGTGATAGTCCCTGGGGAATTGTGGAACTACTTAACCATTTCTGGACTCACTTTTTAAAGGCAATCCTCTCTAAGGGCATCATTTCATCCTAACATCACTCACATCCCCTACTGTATCAATATTATCTGACATATTATTTTGTATTTTTTGTATATATATATATAATATATATATAATATATATTTACTTATAATGAATTCCTAAACTATCATTAAAAATACAAAGTAAATTTGGGGAAATATTAAAGATTCTAATTAATTTTATTTTGTACAGTTTCAAGAAGTTTTGAATATTTTCAGTTCATTATGCTTAATAAAATCAGGTTTGAATGTTGTTACTTTACAATTAGTTCAAAGAAGCTTTAAATACTGTAATTTATTTTCCTTATTTTCATTAATTTTAAGAAGTTTTAAATATTATAAAGTTCTTTGTGATCATTGGTAATAGGTTGGAGTACCATAAAGCCACTCTCAGTTCTTTCCCAAGCTCTCACACCCTTTTTTGTCACCTTAAGAACCTTTGTACCTCCCTTCAGTTCCCAACCTATTTCTTATTCTTGTTTATCTTTGTCTTGCAAAAGCAACAACAGAACCACTATTTTTAAAATGAAAAGTTAAAAAAGATTCCAAGCACTCAAGCATGTGACTAATCATGAGCAACACATCTTAATTTAAACCTGACTCACCTCTCCGAGGAAGTTACTAATACTCAGTCCTCCCCACTCTTTGAGGAACTGCCTTGGATTCCACAATTGACCTACACATTCTTGGAGTCAGTTTAACTGGGGAGGTTGCTCTGCCTTCTTATCAGCCTGGGTGCAGACTGTAGTAAGGCAGCTTTCTTCTGTTGTTTTCAAGAGTGACAACTAAATTGATCTGGCAGATTCTCTGACTGCTTGGCCTCTCCACAGTGCCTTGCTTTCCGCAAAAGCTACTAGTATATGTTTATTGACTAGGTCTCAATTCGCATAGGTCACAGAGTATTGAGGGCAGAATGCAGCTCCATCAGCCCTACTTATCATTTAACTGTAATTCAGCAGCGATTTCTTATGAAAATTCTGTTTTTTACTGCTACTCTAAAACATGGCATAAGGCGTACCAATGAAATAAATTGTGGTGACTTGCCAGCCTACAACAACAGAAAACCACAACTGTCTTGTGTTGTGGTATCTGATCCCAAGTGACATTTTAATTTTGGTAGATGAATTGATGAGTAGTTGCCACAGTAAGCAGAGTCACCTCATTTAATCTTTGGCTCACAGGAACTTTACGAGTCAATCATCTTCAATAGCAGGCAGGCAGAACAGCTAATGCTCTGAACACTGTGACTTTGTTTTGAGCATTAACTCTATTAAGGAATTCCTGATGTTCTTCTGCAGTTAAAAACTCTGGAAGAACCCCATGACCACCACTCTAAGATGTTCATAGCAAGATTAATTAAAAAAAAAAAATCCTTGCTACCGATATTTCACAGGATGCTTTCCAAGTTCTTGTTTAAGTATCACATCCTTTTGTGTGATGCTCACATCTACTCTATTCATTTATAGATGGAAAAAGGAAGCAAAGTAGCAGAACCCGCTAGCCCTTCTATTTGCAATTCTAAAACTCCCTGAAGGCTTCTCACCACAGTCACCTGGGGAGTTGCTTTAGCTGCAGGGGGAAAGTGCAGAGGGGTTAACTATGCAGGGGAGCAACTCTTAGTGAATTTCACCCAGGGCTTCTGTGTAAATAGCCCAGCTTCCTCATTCTTCAGGGAGGACCTCTCTGAGGAGGACCTCTCTGAGGAGGACCTACCTAATCTTCTAAAGGTCTCCCGGGGGCTGATCTACCAGTACCCACAGAAGTACTCTAACATCCTCAGGGCTGTCTGCCTTCCTGGCTCATCTGTTTCATCCCCACACTGGTTCTACTAGAGTTTTTCTCCTAAATAAACTACTTGCATCTGCATCCCCTACTTAGGACTGATTTGAGCAAACACACCCCAACACACTAGAGCACAGACAAGATTGCTATTTGCCTAATACTACAGAGTGATTAAATGTAGAAACACAGCTAGAGCCAAACCCTTTGACTTTCCGGCATTTGTACCAGATTAGATTGCTCCTTGGTGATGACCACTATTTGACAGAATTCATTCCAGGCCTTCTCAGCAAAATGAAAACACTATAACTGAAAAAAAAATGTTAAATGGCTCTCCGAGAAAACTAGTTACTATCATCAATAGGAAACAAACAACAAAAACAAGGAAAAGAAAAGGCAAGGCAGTAATTACCTAGCATGACGAAAGGGACTCCCAGGAAGGTGGAATTGTATTTCCCACCAGTAAGATTGATGATTCCAGCTGCAGTGAGAGTGGCTAGGCTTATGGTCACCAATCCAAGTAGGCCTAACCAGGGTTTGCTGCGGACACAGTCCTGCATAGAGCAGCAGAGGATGGCCATGGTGACTACCAGAATCAGGCTGGTGACCAGGTAACGTTCTGATACACGGCTGGTCTTCTGGAAATCTTCCCTCAGTGATGAGGATGTGTACGGGTATATTTTGACTTTACTGTTGGATTTCTGGAATAGTTTGACAGTGTCACAGAAGCTGGACTCCCACCTCTCAGCTACCATGTCATTGAGACTGTTGATTGACTGCAGATAGTAAGTGAGCTGAATGGCTTCCGCAGATTTCACCCGATCCTTGCTGTGTACAGTGACACCTCCAAGTTGGTGCCCGTTATAGACAGCCCTTCCATCCTTTAAGTGAGTGATCGGATACGTGATAGCAAAATTGGTCCGATTGGTGGCCCGAGCATTCTTTAGCTCTTCCAGGACATGTACTATGTCATCCACAATGCAAGTCTTATCATTATTCAGGACACATATGTGGGCAAACGTATAGTTGAAGCCAGGCCTTGGAACCTGGATCTTGGTTACAGCAGTATGCAACTATGGGGGAGAAAAACAACAGTTAGTTTTTTTTTTAATGAACAAGTAGACATTAATAAGTAACATTAGCTCCAGAGATTAAAATGTTTCTTCTTTTTTGGGAAAGAGAAAGTCATTAGTTCCATCTCTAAGACAGAGAGTTTAAGTAAAATGTTTTGCCTGTTTTCTTATAGAACCCAGGACCACCAGCCCAGGAGTGGCACCACCCACAATGGGCTGGGCCCACAATAGGTAGTAGAGATGCAAGACATACATTGGATCAGTACTTTTCACAGTGTGTGGCTCCCAGTCTAGCAGCATCAACCCAACAGCTTATCAGAAATGCAAATTCTTAGGCCCTATTCCAGAACTGAGAAATCAGATTTTCTGGAGTATAACCTATATAGACCTTCTGAGAGATTCTAATGGTGCTAACATTTGAGAAGTATTGCATTTAAGTACCAATATTACTTCTATGTTCTCTTTATTTGTGACCAAAATGGTCTATAATGTTTGCAAATCTTACACAGGTCTCTTGTTTATTATTTTTCTTGGAAACACGATGTAACAAGTCAATGAAGGTGCAGTTCTGAATGCAGAGGTCTTCTGAAGGCTAGTCCCTTACTGCCAATTTGCAGGGCAGCTTAATAAGCTTATCCAATTACTCCCTACTATAAAAGTCAAGAAGTTTACCTTGATAGCTGTGCTGTTTTAGTTTTATGTCAATTTGACACAAGTGAGGGTTATCAGAGAGGAGGGAACCTCAATTGAGAGAATGCCTCCATAAGATCAGGCAAGCCTGTAGGACATTTTCCTAATTAGTAGTTGATGTGGGTGGGCCCAGCCCATTGTGGGTGGTGCCACTCCTAGGCTGGTGGTCCTGGGTTCTATAAGAAAACAGGCTGAGCAAGTCATGAGGAGCAAGTTAGTAAGCAGTACTCTTCCATAGCTGTTGCATCAGCTCCTGCCTCCAGGATCCTTCCCTGTTTGAGTTTCTGCCCTGACTTCCTTCATTGATGAACTATGATAAGAAAATATAATCCAAATAAACCCCTTTCTCCCCAACCTGCTTTAGTTATGGTATTTTATCACAGCAATAGTAACCCTAACTAAGACACTAGCCCTTGCCTACTCTGCTGCTCATTGTCTGCATAGATGGGAAAGGTGCTAAATGATAAGAGTCTAACTGAGATAAATTGAAATCATACTAGAGGAGCACAATGTGACTTTTATACACTTTAAGGCCTGGAGTGTGCTGGTAGAGTACTTGCCTATTATATACAAGACCATGGTTTCTATCCCCAGTGCTACAATAATTATTCTACACACCTTGACCAATGTCAGATTGTGGTTGTGTCAAGTTACTTCATAATCGCCATCAAATTGCACACAAGAAGATAAATAACATCCACTCCATGCCAAGCACAGTTCTAGGCATTAGCACAGATTAGCTAACTTAGAAATTACACCAAATCACAAAGTAGGTATGAACACTAGCCTATCTCCTAGGTGAGGCAACTGAGACATGGAGAACTTAAATCATTTGTCCATGATCATATGCATCACAAAAGGCAGAACCAGGTTATATCTAGCACACTGAACAGGGCCTGTGTTCTTAGGTTTTTGTCATATATACCTCTAGGTGCCAGAACTGCAGTAAGGATTCCTGCCAGCAGCTGATTTCTGAATTTGTGCTTTTTTTTTTTTACCCTGCTGCTAAAATCACATGTAAGTGTTTATAGAATCTAATATCTCAAGTAAGAGAACAGGTAGTATGTTTGTGAAGGGATTATGGGATTTAAATGAACTACTACCATGTGACAGAATATCACACTTTACCTCCTCTCAGCAATTCAGTTTATAATTAGAATACAAAGGCTCATGGAAGCCTTGCAGATAGGGTTAATTGGCATCTTAAAATTGCATCATCTTCTGTTTCAACTGTAGATACATAGGCCCCCAATTTAACTGTTTCAACTCCTTAGCCAGTTATTGTCACGATGGTTTGTCTTATCTGTGTAAATGTAGCTGGTCTGCAAAAATGAGGCCAGTGAGAGACATGTGTTAGGGTGTTAGATAAACAAGTGTATCTATGGCTGTGCCTAACACAGAGTGGACTCTCCCATGAATGTCTACATGACCCTGCTACATCTCCTCTCAATCTGTTCTAAATGGATTATTGGTGAAGATGTTTTGCCATGCTTGTGTCTTAGTGAGTGGGATAGTATGCTTTTTTGAAAAGGTCTGAGAAGCACCAGCTGTTAAAGGACTTTACTTAGAGATAGAGTTGTTCATTCTAACTCCCAGTGTCCCCTTCCTCCACATCTCTTCATGAACACCAACCCTTAGGCTCAGAAAATACTTTATTGTATTATCTTTGGCTAAAATACTTTCATTTACTTCACATATACATATAGTCTTCCAGATATACCTAGGAGGCTATTTTTATAGTTCGAACCATATGGTAAATTTTTGTGTTGGTGTTTTGGGATTAATGGCCAGAAAAATATCTTTCAGTGGTTTTAAGCTCTGAAAGTATCTTTCTGTCCACTCTTGCCTAAGCACAGGCTTGCAAATCTTGGTTAGGATTATTCCTAATCACCAAAAGTTTCCAATGTAAAAGGTTATTTTAGAAGAGGAAAAAATAAAGAAGAATGTAAAGATGAGAGAATTTTGATAAGAGTCGAAGACTGCAAGGAAAGAGTCAGAATAGACTAGAGAAGTGATATTGAAAGCATGTATATGTGTAATATTTAGTGCATTGTTTGTTCCCATAAGCAGTGTAATAAATCTCCCTTAGAGTGATTACCAAATATATCAAGAGGAAAAGATTGCCAAATAAGATGGTGTTAAGCCACAGGGCTGAACCCAATTATAGCAGGGGATATTTTTTCCATCCATTCCCTGCAATGATCATGCCCTGCTGGTTGGGGAGGTATAAACTATTTAGTGATCTGCCAACTTTGCAGATCTACTGCTATGACCTCTGGGATTACACATGGAAGGAAGGAGACACCATATTAACCTTTGTATTAGCAGACAATTGCTGAGAGTCTTGGAAAATGGAAGGAACCTTACTGGCTTGAGACCGGAAAATTTCTTAACTCAGCAGTAGAGATGCTGTGAGATGCAGTTGCCTTGAATTTCTGATGGAGTGGTGGGTAGCACATGTGTCACTCTTGTTTCTGAGTGGTAGGGTGACATAGAATGAATGACAAAGCAGCTAGGTGGTGACTGAGGCCACCCCCCTGACAGGGAGAGTCTGTGGGATTGTGCTATGGAATAAGAGGTGAGAAGATAGAATAGAAACCAAAAGTTGAGACTCCTTTTTATGAGTTTTGAAATAACTCAATCAGCTCTCATCATTGACTCTAATGATCACATGTCAAGGATAAACACATTTCACTCTTGTCATGGTCAGACATCTTGCACATATTTAGATGTCTACATGCATTCATGGTTTTAGAATGCTCTAATTTACTTTCCTGAGGGAGCCCCAAGGAGAGAAGTAGAACCCTGACATTCTAAGTTGTGGTACAATGTATATTTGCAAGATTTTTTTAAAAAGAAAAATGAAAATGAAAAACCAAAAAGATGGAAACTATGCTTCAGCTAATCTACAATATAAACAGCAGCAACCCACATGAGTGTAGCAATAAATTAGTTAAGAGGCTTTAAGAAAAGAAAAGGAAGCGAAAATAAGACAAATTTGTAGCCCTGACACTTAGCATAATCTGAGTCCATTACATGGGTCAATGGAAAAATCTGTGTTTGTATGGTTATGTATAGATGCCATTAAGCAAAGACACACTCAATAAGTACTCATCAAATCTACTGTGTTGTCAGTAATATGATAATTTTCCTAAATTTAGTGTGCTTGCATTCATGCATGCAAAATTACATGAAATACAGTATACAAAATGAGAAGTGTCTAACAGTAACACCAAGTACTTTGTATTAGTAAAGCCTGAGCCTATATAAATCTTGATCATGATATTTTGATTATTATATGTTTGCTTCTAAAGACATCAGGATTGAATGTTAAATTGAAATTCATTCCAAGTCTCTTAAAATATCATTTAAACTGTCAGCCTCTTTGCTCTTTTCACTCTTCATGTTAAGAATGATAATAGTACTAGTGACTAGTCTGCTAAACATTTTCAACACATTTTAAAACCTTATCAAGATTAAAACTGTAGAAATGCTTAAATTATTATCCCCATTTTGCAGTTGGAGCAACTGAGGCTTAATGAGCTTCAATAAATCACCTATGATGACTTGCAAAGTAAAAAGCAGATGCAGGCCTAACTTCATAGCAGAACACAGCCAGAGACCAACAAAAGTTTGGCAGAAAGAAAAGAGAAGAATCAGACAAAGATGGAGAATTGTCAGGCCACCTGGTTCAGATAGCTTCCAGTGAAATGACTGAGCTATGGAACAGCCACACTTGGAGGTCCAATCAGAGAGATCAGAGATGATGCAGACAGCTAACTCTCATCTTTAGACATCACCTTCACATGACAATATGAACAAATAATGAAGGGGGTGGGTTTTGACCTCATACTTTTCTATTCTTCCTACAGTGCCTAGAATTGCCAGATGAAGCGTTTTGGAGAAGAGCTTACTAAAAATTCCTCCTTTCAGCCAAGAGGCAAAAGAGAATCTGGTAATAAGATGTGTGGGCTTCCAACATGGCTACTCTGCTTACCTTCCATATGCTAGAGATCTTAAGGATGTCACTCTACTGCTTTAGGTCTGAGACTTCAGATCTCACATTTTCAGTCATAAGAAGGGTGTTGGCCTAGCTGATTCTTTATTCTTATTATTATTGAATATAGACTCTTCTATCATACAATACATCCCATCCACAGTTTCCTCTCCCTTCACTTCTGCTGGCTACCTCCACCTCCCCTTTACCTCCAGATCCACTCCCCTCCTTTTCCCTTCAGAAAAGAGCAGGCCTTCAAGAGACGACAGCCAGATAGGACAAAAGAAGACATAGTAAGAGAAGGCCAAATCCC